AAGGATCATAGCCAAAATGGGTAGGGCGGGCAACAGAGCTGCACTCAACGGGGTCCCAGTGACCACGCCCAAGACCGGACAAAGCCTCTGACACCACTGGAGGCCAGGTGATTTACAGTGGCTCCAGCCAGGATTCTGGTACCACGAAGACATAGCGAGTTCAGGCAGGGACAGGAGAGGCGTGACGCAGGAGAGAATGAAACACCTGGTAAATGCAACAATTTTAAAGTTAGGAAGGGCTGACTGAACACAGCATAACACAGCAACAATGTATCTGGTTTAAAATGTGGTTTTGAAATTAGAGGGACACCTGATATAGCTTTTTAAACAGCTTTTGTGAATGCTCACTTGCTGACATACTGTATGTAGTGCCCCTGACGTGTGTTGAAGTGCAGCCAAGACTGTTGAACATAATCCAAAGTAATATTACAAACATGATCCCATCATGCCATCCTCCTGCTCTCAAACTACAATGGTTCTAAAAGCTTCTAAGGGGATGTGCCCGGGAACTTTAGGACAATGTAATGTAATTTGGAACAAATATTCCTAAAAATTGTACACACAGCAGCAGTGTTAACAAAAAGCAGCTCCTGCACACTGTCAGCACATGCAAATGTATTGAATAGCTACATTTTCCTAAAGCAACAGCATGTTAATGTCAGATAAAGGTCAATGAGGAAAAGTGTAACAATTACCACAAGTGCTGACAAAGTGAGAGAGCACACTTTTGTACTAATTATAGAAAAAACAGGCAGTGTTCAATTAATCCACTAATTGCCAGAGTAACCAAGAGAGAATTTTAGTCTACTAAAGTCTACAGGGAAAATCATATTCAACATACACCATGGATAGTATACTGTATATATGAAGTTTCCATTGAAGAATAATATTTACATACTGTTTGAACTAAACAGTGTGTTTAGTTAAACTTGAGTGATAAACCTTTTCAATATATGAGTATCCGGTACAGATAATGTACTTCTTACGAGACCGAGTATCAAACAATTAAAATGTGTCAGTATCCGTACTTATAAATATAAATATATGTATATATATATATACACATACACAAAAAACATACCACCAACCACCATAAATAGTTCTCTTAGTAGTTCAATTAAAATCATTGCTCTAAAGCTCAATTCTTTAAATAGTTTCCTAATAAATTTAGATAAAAGATATAAATAACATCCGATCCACCGATGTAAATTTCAGGCTTAAATGAACAACTTCCTGCTCACTTTGGGTTTAAGCCCCACCCATGTCTAGGTTAAGCCCCGCTTAATCAGAGATACAAATACTGACGATTTAGTTGCTTGAACAGATACAAGACCTGTAAAACAATAATGTAAAATACATCACAACACAATCTTATGAAGTGAAAATGATTTGGACCTGATCAACATGGGTCTTCAGCCATGACCCCATGGGGGCGCACCAAATTATTGTTTGATAATATAGAATAAAAAAATTAATTAATATATAAAAATTAATATATAAAACTGTCAATTTTCATAGCTTATTATTGTATGCACGATAACAGTGCATGTTTATACATGGCACTAATATGCCGCCCTACACATTATTGTAGACCCAGTTTTAATATGTAACAATGTATATACACCGATCAGCCATAACATTATGACCACCTGGATGACCTGCCCTTGATATTGACATGACACTGATGACTAATGAGCTATCAGTAGCCTCCTCTGTAATGCAATTGAAAGAGCAAATGCTGGCTGTTATTTGGCTTGTAGACATGGTTTGTGGGTGTCGGTTTCCCATTGATCTATGGAGATGTCACTGAGACACGGCCCTTCAGCTGACTGCATATAATCTAATAAGGAGAGCACTTCAGCAGCAGTCTGGATGAGGTCATACTCGCTGTGTTCAATTACAGCGGCGCTGCTAACAAACTGCAGTCAAGTACTGTACATGGGGCGAGAAAAGTTAATGGTGCTGAGCAACAAGATAGTTTCCAATAGATTTTAGCGTGGATCATCCAGTTCAAGCAGAAACTCCAGTACATTTTAAACACCAGGAACACACACACAGACCCACACACACAGCTCTCTGGTTCTTGACCAATAATTACATTAGCAGTGAGCGTCTGAGTGTGTGTCTCTAAATGTTAATTTGATCTAGCGCCAGTGGAGGCACTAATAGCTTTTATGTTGCTGATTAGTAAATAAGAGGATGGTTGAGTGACTGCACTTCCTCCCAGTCAGTCATAAAACACACTAATAACAGACATTAACCCCCTTTATGGCGCTTATGTTCAGGTCAGAATTAAATCGTTGCTGAGTTCACGTCACTGAAAAACCCATAAACTTTGTTCTTTCAGTGTGGCATTTGATCATACCCTCCACGTTGATGATTTGTGCTTTTTAAAATGAAATGACATTTTGGAAAATACTGTATTCACTTTCTTTCTGAGTGAAGGGAGAAGATTGATAGCAATCTCCTGTCTGTGTGTTGAAGGTCCAGTGTGTTAAATTTAGGATCTATTGGCCATTGTAGTTTCTCCTACATGCTTGGAACAGGGGGATGACGCGAAGGGGTTGTAATCTGCAACTTCACACTGGTCCGATTTAGTGGCATCTAGCGGTATAGTGACTGATTGCAACGCCCTCGCCTCACCCTCCCAGAGAAAACTCTGGTGGCCACAAAACTCACAGAAAAGGCCCCATTTAGAGCCAGTGTTTGATTTGTCCATTCTGGGGTACTGTAGAAACATGGCAGTTCAACGTGGAGGACCTGCTCCCTCTGTCATTCTAAGGTAACAACGATTCTTATTTTCAGGTGATACACTAATGAACACAAGCATATTCAATTCCTGTCAATACTTCATCCTAATTGTTACACATTGGACCTTTAAAGTACAGAGCTGGACTCAGGATGTGGTTAATATGATGGCCGAGAGGTATCAGCAAATTCCAAAAGCCGCAACACACCGGAAAAAGTCACAACACAAATACAAAGTCACAACACAACGGACGTGAGTGACAATGGATGTTGACAACGAACTGTTGCGGACTGTGTGGAAGGGGAAAGCTGTTGATCGTTACCATGGTAACTGAAACTTTTGTATTTGAGTTGTGGCTTTTTCCGCTGTGTTGCGACTATTCCGTTGTGTTGTGGCTTCTTCCATTGTGTTGTGGCTTGAATGAAGGAATGAAAGTGAATTGCGTGAAGATGTCAGCAATCACTGGTTGTTGAGCTGATGGTGGCTGGTTGGAACATTGCAAACAATAAGAAAAATACAGAATATCACTTATCATTTAAAGTTATGAACATCCTAAACCAAGCTTGAATTAGCTAAATTAGTTTCTTCGTCCTGGTTCATCCCCATTCAAATCTTTTCACAGCAAGCCCTGCTTTTCTGAGCCTTCTTTATGAAACACCCCTTTAAGACAAAAAATCTGAGCTTGAGCTGCTTTTGAAATGTATTTGGTTTGCAGGTGAGGACTGCATGTAGAACACAGCCTGAGTTTCTGCTCTCAGTTGCTCATCCTCTCATCCACTTCACTTTGATCATAATTGGCCTGATGAAAATAAGGACTGCAGCGAGAAACTGTAATTACGAGTAATCACAGCACGAACTGATATCTGAGCATATGTGATGTCATTTACATTATATGGTACAGTAAACTAGATATCACGTACAATTCAATGCGCACTTCAAGCAATTTTAGAGATAACTAAAAGCTCCAACATTTATGGTTAGCTATACCCTTTACTAAACAATACATGCCATTGTCATTCCGATGGATCATTACAACCATCGTATTCATGCTGGGTAGTACCAGTGCAGCCTTTATTACATATCTGCACAAGAACAAAGCCACTAGCCCTATCAACAGATTAGAATTCACAACTCAGGCGCCTCACCAATAAGTAACAAAGTCAGCGGGAGCCAAGCAACACCTCGCTCTGCTCTCTCAGAATAATCCTAAATTATTCATGTGAATCTCAATGAGGCTGCTGCCAGCAGGAAAAACACATATTACTTATGTAAATCCTTAGTGGCAAAAGGTACGAGCTGTGTTACATAACACATGTAGCCTGAACTGTCACCTTCTTGTATGACAGAACATCCCAACACCCCCACCGACACCAGCACTACATGGCCTCATTCACTCCACCATCATTTTATTCTACCTTTCACCAACAGGAAAAACATCCTGTCATGTTAGAGGGGAGAGGAATGGTCTATCATAATATCGACCAGCTTTACCAACAGTCTCACAAAAGGTTTTTGTCCCCAATGTCAGGGACATAGAATAGAGTTGAGAGAATGGCAACAGCAAAATAAGAAATATTATTCTTCATGGTTTGAGCTGCAGTTAAGCTTGATGTTGATATCAATCAATGTTATGGTTGATCTGTGTTCTATACTGTGCATCGGTGTATGAATGAGTATGAATGTGTTAGTTTCTGTTCGATGGGCTTTACCACCACTGAGTGAATGTGTGTGAAAGGGTGAATGTGGCATGTAGTGTAAAAGCGCTTTGAGTGGTCGGAAGACTAGAAAGGCGCTATACAAGTACAGGTCCATTTACAATTTCTTGTTACTTCTCCTCTATTGCTATCTAATAAAGACATAAAGGCCCCAAAATAAAACATAAAAAGGTGAAGAATTCATAACGTGGAATGCTGTTGTTAGCACTCTTGCCAAGCTAGCTCCTGCAATTAATGCTTACAGTGCTGCCTTCATTATTTTGTGTCCTGCTTGCTTTTCACTACACCGTGCTGCTATATCTTTTACAGGCAAAGTCCAGCGAATGCTCATATTATTGTTATTGAGGCTAGCACTTTCTTTCTGGTTGCTGCTCTGGTTTGTTAGAAGAGTTTTGTTTCCTCATGGATTGATAAAAAACAATGCACTGTCTGTATCTTGTCATCCAGCTGTGTGTCCATGGTAGCAAAATCTCTCCTGTTTAAGACAATGTGTTCATTAAACTAAATGTCTTGTGACCACCATCATTATACTGTACCTTCACATTGTCTGGATAGAGGCCCCCGGGGTGTTTGTCCATGTATTGGCACAGGTCTGTGTGCTGTAAAATAAAAGCAAAAGAGCACACAGTGAACACAGTAACATAAGAAAGTCTTAAAACTTGTGACCAGTTATGAATGAGCCTGAGAATCTAAGAACAGGACGTCGTGGTGGTTGGATGTCAGTACTATTAAATGTGAGGCAGAATAGACCATCATTAGACATCTGTAAATATTAGTGGAAATGGGATACAATCAACCTGAGAAATCTGGTTTATGTTATAGTAGTGTTTACCATGTGAGACGTGAGGTGATTTGTTTGAAAGCTGAGCTTCTCCGTCAGAAAGCCACCATAGACTGACTCATACATGCATGCAGTGTTCCACCGGCCTGCCCTCCACCTCTGTGTTTTGCTAGCAGATTGAGGGTGGAGGAGGCAGTGGCTCTGAAATCCCACTGATGTTTACAATCTCAACAATCTCCCCCGGCTGCCCCCACCAGCAGAGCCTCCTCTGCTGAATAATTCAGATGTATGCTCCAGCATGGACATGCCATCTCACCCTTTCTCCTTCATATCTCAGTAATACATTTCATTGTCTCTCCCCCCCTTGCTTCACTGCCCCCCTCTTCCTATGTATGTCACCCTCTCCCTGTCAATCATCATTTGCTTGGAGAGGAGAACGATGAGCTGATTTTTCCAGGTGAAAAGCCCTCTGTATGTAAAACAGCATTAAAGCTTGGAACACATGATGATGGATCAATGTGAAGGAGTAGTCCGACGCATTTGTAAAGCTTGGAATTTAACAAATTAATTCAAACATATAACCATTATTCAAAAGGATACATATATAAAGTGATTCCTCATATTTAAAAGGACAGTGTTGCATCACAATTAAAAGATTAGCTAATTTTAAGATATGAATAATCTGGTAGGGGAGGGTTAACTGACCTCCGTGTTTTAACTCAGGACAGCAAACTGATGTGTGCTCTCAAAGGAACTCCACTCACGTCTCACCAAACCTCCTCCACAAAGCTAAACCTTTGACATGTGTTGTATCTACCAACAGGGGGCATTGCGCTGTTTTCAGTCTCATTAAATGCAGAAGTGATGGAAAGCTGAGTAAGCTTGTTCTGGTGGAGAGATTTGGCCTCGCTCAGCATTTTAAGATCAAACATTGACTCAAACATTGACCTGAATATCAATGTGACCATCAAAAATAATCATCAGTTGGTACATATGCAAAGGGTTAACAGAGGATTTGGTCTGTAGTTTCTGTACAGAGAGCTGAGGTGAGAACTTTTTTTCTAGTAGTACAATATTTACAATGTGGAAGCCGAGCTGAGCAGCATTTAAAGATTTTCTGCTCCTAGGGCTGGGCAATAATTCAGTATTACTGCTCTGACTTCCAGTGGTTTGGACAGGATCTGGAAAGGGATAAACACAGAAGTTCATGTGCAGTTTCCACAACAGCAGCACTTTAAAAGGTTGTAACATTTCAAAAATGTTATGCCTCTTTCATGCTGATTTGGTTTCTGGTGTCATTACCACAGATTATAGATGAACATGGATGCAGAGATTGTGATGTCATTCAAATTGAAACTTCTGTCAGCGTACCCAGCTCGCCATGGTCTTGGCAGTTATGGGAGGTGGTAGGTGGTGGTGGTAAGAGACTTTCATCAGATACATTAAGGGTGACAAGGATCACATGACTGGTGAAGTACACTAAAGATGGCAGATTTTAAAGCTGGAGCTCAGGACATTTTACATATAAATGTACATCTGTTACATTTAAGCAAGCACAATATACAGGGGTCTGTGGCGACACTGGCGCACCAGTAGTGATGCCTTTTATGTCAGCCAGCAAGAATTGGTTTGCCAGAGCTGAAGGGGGGAGTAACCATAGCGACAGGGTATGTATGTCAGAGGCATATCTCATAGTACAAGTCGACAGTGTATTACTCTCACTGTCAAAAGGGGGAGAAAAAAGTTCCACACTGCAGGTTTAAGAACTACAAATATAAAGATCTTTATTTTTTGTTTACTTAGCAAACAATTAAAGTAGTTAGTGGCTTGCCACTGCCTTAGACTAACTAACTCATCAAATCCCAGTAGTTTCACATTCCTTTTCAAGGATATATTAGTTGGCCTCTAGTTACCACTTAGTAAGTGGTAAGGTTGTATGAGTGTGTGTATGAGGTTAGTATTATAGGTAATAGTATTATTATGTCTATTTCTGGTTAAACAAAAGGTCTATCTCTGTAGGGATCATTTCCATGTTGACAGACACTTAAAATAGTCAGTGGCAAAAATAAGCACTTTTAGTGGACGTATTTGTTATGGGCGCAATTGTCCCTCAGGATCAACCATTGCAACAAATATTTGGGCATCCAACTCTGTGAATTAAGGGTTTTTGAAGTGCGATAAACTTAACTGAGGATCATCGCTAAATTGTGCTTAAAATATCACATACTTATCAAAATGCAAATATCCCTTGAAGTTACCTTGATTAGCTCCAGTATTGACCTTGCAGACCAGCAGAGGACATCTCTAACCCTATGGTTTAACCCTATGGTTTAACCCTATGGTTTAACCCTATGCTTTAACCCTATGCTTTGCTGTCATTAGTGTCCTCAGTACTTTACAGGGCAGTTGTGGAAATGTACTAAAACAGTGACCTTCCAATAAAATGGCCGCCTGGCTTCCTGTTCTGGGCACAGACAGACCAGCCTCTGGTGCTTCTGGCTGCCATCCTATGGCAAGAGTGGAAAAAGCCCAGGCTGCTTTAACATTCTTCAAGTGCCCTATAAACAAGAGTATGCCAATCCAAATATCCACAGCTCATGTTTCTGTGGGAAAGTATTAAAAGTATTAAAAACCAAAACTCAGTCAGTGAGCAGACGCCGAGGTCACAAGACACATAGACGAGCGCTGACCTCCCTGCCCTTTGAACCTTCAGGTTCTTTTCCTTTTCAACAAACAGTAAAAACAGATTCTCAACCTAATTTCAGACCGCTACAGTGGGTGATCTCAGCGTGTGCAGCCTCACCACATATTCGAAGACCAGGGTCAGGGTTTCCTTGGTGTGGATGATGTCATGGAGGAGCACGATGTTGGCATGCTTCAGGCCTTTCAGAAGAGATGCTGCAGATACAGAACAGACAGACAGAGAGTTAATGGGAAGCACATACTGAGATACCAGAGGAATTGCTAGATCTATCCCTTCATTAGCTGCATCATTAGAACGCAGTGCAGGCCCTCCACAAACCTCACTACATACATACAGGGGATTAGGAAAAGATTAAAACCAAAAAAATAAAATACAGGGTGGATTTACTGCTCCAAGTTCTCACACTCATTTGTCAACACATTTATGATGTAACAGACATTGTTAATAAGTAAAGCAGCAAGATGATGTTCTGGTGATCTAATTGCCCATTACTTTACTGGCAAAGCTTCTCGCAGAGTCTTACTGAGGAGGTTGGGTGTGATCAGCACATTCTGGGACAGACTTGTTCAGACTTTCACATGCGATTTGCTTTGAGTACAATCTGGGAGGATTGTGCAAATAACGAGATATTAAAAAAAAAGACCAATCCATTATGCAGTCATTAAAGGTTTACAGAATTTGCAAGGGTCAGTTTTGTGTGGGAAAATTCTACTGCTCTGAAAACCTGGTTCATCTGATGATGGATGACAAATGATAAAATGTGACAGTGACAGGCAATGACAGTGTTGCTAGGTATGCTATCCTGCTGTCCCAGAATGCTCTATGATTATGATGATTATAATGGTTTTTAAGCTGCCATTTTAAGGTAACATAGTTACATGTTTCATTCATTCCATAGAAGTTCATTGAAAGGTTTTTCTCAGAACTTTCAAAAAATCCTTGTTATGACACTGGTGGCTGTTAGGTGAACTACAGTTGGAATATATAATGAATGTTCATTGATTGATTGATCCATTCGAATTAGACAAAGTGCATGTATACACCGGCTTTTGTGTTACAAACTACATATATATTATTTTTACCATAGATTTCTGTTGAGGTTTTTACTCTGGCCTTACTTAATGTTTTGGAGTGTTATTTCATTACTTAACATTTCAATTTCAGCATCACCATAAGGATTAATATAAAATATCCCACCACTTTTTGCCCACAGTGGCAATGTTCAGCTCTCTGAAGCCACGATATTTCTTCAGAGTTTCAGAGGTGTGATTATACTTGAGCAACAAACTGCAAAGCTTTCTCCGGTAATCACAGCAACAAAATTACAGACAAACAAACAGCTGAGAGAAAAACCCGTCTGGCCACAGTCGGGCAATACAGGGAATAGTTTCATTAGGATAGAATGTGAGAGCGGCATAACAAGTGTCGTTTTTATTATGAGACATAAATGGGATTTTCAGACGGTTACCAATGTGATTAATTTAGCAAACACTAAGTTCTTTTCCAAGGACACGGAGGGGGGGGACAAACCCTCAGAGAACTGGCAAGTGATGGAACCTCATGAATACATTCATCCTGTATGAGTACCTAAAGGTTGTTAAAAAAATCAGACAAGGCAGGACTCCTCTCAGTGAGCAGGAGGTTAGCACTACAGATACCTCAAAGATCCTGTCACCGTTTGAAGATCCAGCCCCCTCCCTCGCTCACCTACACCCGCCTCATCTCTAGTAATGAGCATGACTGTGTGCAGTTTTAATAAGCATGGGCACACACACACACACACACACACACACACACACACACACACACACACACACACACACACACACACACACACACACACACACACACACACACACACACACACACACACACACACACACACACACACACACTCCTCTCCTCTGGATATATTACTTTATTCAGCAGCAGTCTGTAATGCTGCTCACATACCAGCGCTGGGAGCTCCCTGCTCAGTAATTGCTGAATTAGTTCAATTTCAAAGTGCCTTTCTGATACGCTCACAGGGAGAGTTTGGACTCTGTGTGTGTGTGTGTGTGTGTGTGTGTGTGTGTGTGTGTGTGTGTGTGTGTGGTTCTCACTTTATCAGGCCTCGGTCATACACAGATCAAACAGACAGAATCGGTTTCTCATCTGAATTCAATAGCCAGTTGTGTGTGTGAAGGTGAGTGTTTCAGTAAACTGAAGAACTTCAAGTGCTTCACACACACAACTGACAGGACGACCCAAGGCAGGACATGCTCTGTGCTGCACGACAACTGGCAAGTCACAGGATGTCAGACAAATCAACATAATCATTTAAGTTCCATATAGTTTGTCCATACATTACAGAGTCTATTTAAGTACTGGAGCAAATATTGAGTTAATTACTAACCTTACTATAAATAATGGCTTTTCCCTTCACATGTTCAACTGTGACATGAATTTAAGAATTTTATATAATATAATTTTATATATATATATTATTTTCAACACAGTCTATAGTCCTTTCTTAATATAGTGTATCTCAGTCTCAGTGTCATGAGAACAGGAGGACACAGCATGCTCAATTTGAAGATGTGACAACATTCTTCTTGCTGATATCACCAGCTGCACTCAGTAGTTTGCTCCTTTTTGTTTTGTTTTGAACATAATACAACAGTGTCAATCCTAGTATCCTGGTGTGTGCTGGAATATATTTCTGCTGTCTGGTTTACTGTGGTTTGCTCTGCACCATCTGGCACCCAGAAGAGAAGCACTGCTGTGCACAGCGTTTTTTCTCCTTTTTTTACTCAACTTTTTTCTTTTATGATCTTTCATCTGTGATATTTAGCTGTTATCTTCACTGTAATAAAAGTAATGTACAAATTAAATTAAAACTAATATAAACAGCATGGCTTTTAGTTTTTTTGGGGATTTTATAAATTTTTATTGATTAGTGCCAAGATCTGTAGATCATTAGTTTCCAATCTTTTTCCTTGATGAAGCCATTTTCTAGTAAACCGTAAGTGACATATGGAATGGATATTTTTACATTAAATTGAATGCATAATAACAACAGTACAGAACTACTGATATACTGTACAATGCCATGCCCATGGAATTAGATATAAGGAGTTAAAGGTACACAGGGCAGTGCCACTGTAGAATAAAAATGACGGAGCAAATTATCTAGCATTATTTCTGATAGTGACAGTTTAGGGTTTGACAGTTCCCTGCCATTGCTGCTGGTTGATGCAAAATGCATGCTGGGATATACGTCTGTCTGCCACAAGCTCACATGCAAGTCAGCTACTAAAGCATTCTCTATAAAGTGGATGACACATGGTCATTCCCTTTATGGCCGATAGACTCAATCATAACAACATTTTACTGGGAAAACCAAAAACCTAGGATTAAAATGATAACACTACAAAACCCACACAATCTTGGAGGTCTTGTTGCACTAATTTTGTTAAACCTAACTAATGTTAATTAAAAATCATAACCCAATGGATCCATCCTGCAGAACAATGCTTTCCCTGACTAGATATTGAACAACATTTATCAGCTCTTTCATAAAACACCATGACTGCTTCAGTAATACTACCATAAGTACAGCACTAACAGCTTGGTGGAAAGCTTACAAAGTCATGCACAGTGGAACTGGAAACTAGCAATTGCCAGTTCCACTGTATGCACTCATGCTAACCCTGTCTTGTCACCCAGTGTATAAGCGTCTGTCATGACACAGCTTGAGAAAGGCCAGAGTCAACAGTGTGTTTTGCAGAAGGTGAACATTAGTGAAAACTGATGGGGCAGTTACAAGATGTGACAAAGCAGCTCCTGCACACCGCTCATTCAGGATCACTAGTCCTGCCTGCTCAGCAGTTCTGACCTGAGTTACAGGTTACCAAATCACGTTAAAACAGTCTGATAACACGAGACAGAGCAGGTTTTTTTTTTTTTTTTTTTTTATTCATCCAGGTGTCATTTAAATTTTTGTAAGCTTCCCAGCAGTTCCACTGGAGCCATCGGGGCCTCGCTCACGCTCAAATTTTGTATTATTTACAGCACTTACAATACAGTTAAAGGACCAGTGTAGGATTTAGTGGCATCTAGCGGTGAAATTGCAGATCGCAACTAACTGAACACTGCTGGAGTCGGTATTAGATGACTTGAGAATGAGAACAGGCTGTGAAGTGTGTAGGAGAAACTACTGTGGCTGGAAACATGTGAAAAATGCAAAGGGCCAGTGTTTGGTTTGTCCGTTCTGGGCTACTGTAGATCATGGTGGACTTCATGGAAGGCGTGCCGTGGTGTCTGTAGATAAAAACAGCTCATTCTAAGGCAACAATAACACAATTACTCTTTTCAGGTGATTATACACTAATGAAAACATACCTATAAACACTATATTCTCTTTCTGACAATAGATCCTCCTAACTGTTACACACTGGACCTTAAAGCAAAATCATGATAACTTCCCTTTTTTGTGTGTGTTCCAGCAGTATTCAAGCAGTTACCTTCTCTTATGGCTGTAAAGGGCGTCCCTTCCTCCTCTTGCAGACGAATCACCTTCAGAGCCACCAGTTTCCCATTCACCCTGGCAACAACACACAGGACAGAAGTATGGTAATCCCGCCTTTAATTTTTGTGACATGAAAAAAGAATCTATTAAAATCGGTGAAGCCAGCGAACAGCAAGGATTGAAATGTAATTTAGCAGCAGTGGAGTGAGACCCGCGTACAAGGCCACAGGATTACAACTGAATGAAGCTCACCAATCAAAGCCACTGTAGTGAGGCGCACACTAACATCATTACTGAGAAGATTAGAGTCTGCGGACTTTCGCACATTTACAGTGTGCAAACTTTTTCATTTTCTCGAATTTAATTAGCAAAACATTGAAGGAAAGCGCCGCACCATAAAAAGGGGAATGCAAGTATTGAGTGGGTGAATAAAAACATCCATCCTGTAGTGATAAAAATAAAAAAAATGACATTGCATGTGCGGGATTTGCAGCTCTACAGAGAGGAGAAAATATTATTTACATAAAACTAGACTGTGTAACTGTTATTGCTGTTCCATTTGATAAATTAATTCAGCGACAGCGTTGCTCCTGTGTAATTAAATGTAATATCCACGGCCTGCATGAGTGGCTCTTGTGAAGTATAAAGAAGAGTGACTGGATTAGGCCTGATTCGACAAGCACGCACTACTTACTTGCTCTTTCCTTTGTAAACTGTAGCATATGAACCCTCTCCCAGTTTCTCCAGCTTTTCGTAGGAATCTGCCTTTCCAAACTTGGGGCTTGTGGGCTGAGGGGAAAAAAGAGAATGAGAGATATGAAAAGGTAATATAAAAAGGATGAATTTGGTAACCCTGAAAAACAAACTCTCAGAGGATTTCACACAAGACATCGCAAGTCTATGAGAGATATTAAAATCTGGAGGCTCCCCACTGCATCGTCTGGGAGGTGTAATGTCACTGAGGAGGAGGAGACAGAATTTCTTCTTCTCTAAAGACAGCTCTTCGTTTAATCGTCAGCTCATAACTTTTACATACTTTTCATTGTCAACAGTTCGCAGAGGAAGAGGTAACAACTTGAAGAAAATGAGGCCCAGAACTGAATGTTTTCAAACCCAGCTGGTATGAAAAAGGGATATCTCAACTTAGACCTCAGCTTTATTCTTTCTCTGTTGGCTGCTGTAGGGAAATGACTGCACTGAGGTGGTTTTGATTATCTGGTTGTTTTCCCACATAACTGACCAACCCTGGTGTGTTTACCAGGCTGGTGTGGTTCCATTGGATGATTGATTTTAGCATGATTTTAAAAGCTAAAGTACTGTTAATTCCATGGGCTTATTGTGAACTGTTCAGAAGGTGATCTTAGGCCATTAGGAAAATTATTTGGTAACCATGGTAAACTGTGTGCATGTTAGCGTGAAGGAAACTAGTTTGGATGATTGAAATACTTACATTCAGCAGCAGGAGGAAATATTCCATTACTTTTTGATTATTTTTTTGGATTTTTTTGGCTTTTATTGCCTTTTATTTGATAGTGACAGCTGAGACAGGAAAGGGGGGCAGAGAGAGGGGATGACACGCAGCAAAGGGCCGCAGGTCGGATTCGAACCCTGGGCCGCACAAGAATAACAGAGGTCAAAACGTGAAACTAATCCTTTTTTATAGTTTTGTGGCAGCAAAAGAAGTGGCAAACCTCATTGGGGACTTTTTGTCCATTGGAGGTCCTATGATTGAGATGGACCCTTTTAGTATCACCGCTCCTTTACAATGTTTTTACAGCGTAGGTAGTTCTTATCACAATCATTTATGTCCAAGTGTTTCTGATAAGTCTGGTTTTAATTAGTTATTTGAAGCTATAAAATGGGGTTTCACGCCATGTTTGACAGCTGCTCACAATTACGTTGGCCGGGCATATGGGCCCCGATCACTACTGCAGAGACTTTGGCTTCAAATGACGTCACCAGCGAAAGATGCGTGCCCATATCTGGGATACTTTGCCTTCATTTTTGTACAGTGGGAAGAAGTGGAGATATGGCGATGGTTGGCATACACCTCTCGTGTTCATTCTTAGACGATGACGTAGCATGCACACCATTGAACATTTATCTTGAAGTTAATCCCAGGCTCTCTTGGCTCCAAACATCACTACACACACACCTCTCCAGAATGTGTAAAGCATGGTGCAGTTTGTGCTACATCTGCACTGTCCTCACTGCTTTATCTTCCCTCTGTTATCTCCCCGTCCTCTGCAGCTCTAATAAGCTCACCATTTCTGAGGGCTTCTCTAAACAAATTAGACTTCCTCCTGGGATCAAGCAGGAAGTGAAACTCTATCTGAGAAACAACTCAGTTGGACAGTAAGATATTCTCCTGGTGGCCCAAGGAACCCTCTCACCGAGACGCATTTTGCCTCTTTCTCGGTGTCCTGAGATTTGACTACAAAGAAATTCCCTTCTCATGTATTTTTCATCCACAAATAAAAGCATTTTTTCTGTATTCTGTCTACATCACTCATTTCCACCTGCCTCTTTTTATACAAATGACTGCTTATAAAATTCAGTTTCACATTCACAGTCAATGAACAACAATTCAAAATAAATGATCACTGTATAGCACCTAATGTTTCTCATCAAAAATGAAGCAACACCAAAACAACAAAATCCTATACCTGACATTATTTTCTGACCCACTATAAAGGACACTCAGATATTAGTCAGCTAGTAGCCAAGCAGCTGATGAATGAGCTAATGGTGAAACATGAATGAATCAGCTGATGCCAATCAGCTAATGGATGCATGACTTTGAAGTGTTGTCTACACCTATATGGATATTTTTTGGCACAAAGGGGCATATTTTTCCAAACTCCAGTTTCTGTGTATGTGTATGGAGCGTTTGGGAAACGACAACGTCATCACAAATTCGTGGCCATTGTTGCTTTGTTTTATGAGTCTGAAACAACAACAACAACAACAATGGCAGACTAGCACTAGGTCTAGCACTGCAAGGCCAGAAAGGTGTTAAATAACTACAGATGAATCATTTGCTACAAGGAGAATAAGCTCATTACAGATGCTCAGTTCTTCTCTGGTATTTGATGTATCGCTGATGTATCGTTGATGTAGACTTTCTTGCCACCTACTGGCCCAGCATGCTTGTTTGTAAAATCTGTAAACAAAGGTCGTTTGGACATATTTTTTAATTTTTTTTAAATAGAGGGTGAAAATATCCATGCTATTTAAAGGTCCAGTGTGAAACATTTAGGAGGACCAAATGGGAACTAAATCCAACAGTGAACCAGCTACTGGAGACCAACCCTAACAGGTAACGTGAGAAAAGTTGTGTTAAACAGCAGTTTCTCAGAAGAAGCCTCAAACTCGGGCCACTGATATAAGTGCATTCTTCACATAAAAAGTAGAGGCCATGTCTGATGGCCAAAGAGAAGTCCATTAATCCCATTTTTCAATCCAGAAGCGAGTCGGGCTGCCTGAACAAAAGGACCACGAAAGGGACAATTTACACATTTTCATAATCATGGCTGAAACAATTCATTAGTGCCTTGCAGTGATGCTGGCAGGCAATCAGTCAAGCCTCATATCACACTTATTAAATCGTATTTGTGTGCACATTCATTAGGCTTCTCACATTTGGAGCTAAATTAAAAAAAGGAAGCACATATGTATAAAACCTGAAAATCTCATTTGCATGATTAAGAAAATCATGTTGTTTGTAAACAGCCTTCAATTAGCCATGTGAATGAATACGGGCTGGAACATTTGTTTCAAATGGAGAAAGGGGAAAAAAAGAGCTTGGCTGCCAATAAAAAACACCTGAGAAATACAGCTGTAATTGGTGCTTTGACTGCATTTGAAAAGCCGTAACCATGTCAAAGTCAATCCATGGTTGGCATTGTTAGGGTTTGATGTTGGAACATCTTTTTTAATTAATCTTCCTTATTTTGTGGTATTCAACTACTAATGGGCAAGTACTAATGGGCTTAATTTCCAGTTCCATGTTCATGGTCAACATTTGTGCTCCAACTTATTTCCTCTCTAACTACTCATTAATGTCTCTTTATGTCTGTCATCTTACTGTCCATCTGTCATAATCCGTATAGTTCTGAAAGTTGATAAAAATGTTCATAAGCTTGTCTAGGTTCCCTTTCTGTAAGCTGTAGTCACACCCAGTTTTACTCCTTGGTCATTTATATAAGGAACACCACAAGACATATCTTAAGTTCCCCCTGAAAAAGGCTGAGCCACCAGTAAGCCCCCTCATAATGGACTGCTTTTTAACAACCGTTATTGTTTGTTGCATCAAAATTCATTAGCACCTGCTATAAACAATCCAGCCCATTTCGGCATATCACGCTCGCCATCCACTCAAAACGTAACGTCTACTACTCTTAAAACAAGTGTGTGCGACGTGCCTATTGTTTTGTTTCCGGTCTAGCTAGATCCGGTGTGGTGTTGTAGTTTTTTTAACGTTACTAGTTGCAACAGCATGTGAAAAAACTACCAAAGCGTGCTAGGCCAAAAAGAACGTTAATCTCGCGATAAAAAAATTGACGTCGTTAAAATGGGTTTGCGTTAACGCCGTTAATAACGCGTTTAACTGACAGCACTAATTTTGGTCCATAAAATGTCAGAAAATTGTTGATCATGTCCTCAAACATCTTGTTTTGTCCAGCCAAAAAAATTCTGTTTACTATCAGAGGACTAAAGAAACCCTATAATATTCACATTTGAGAAGCTGAAGTCAGAGAATTTTTCGTTGCACTTTGCATGCTGCGTTTTGCATTTTTAACCAATTTCAGAATTTTCCACTGACGTTTTGCTTTTTTTATGCAGAAATTAAAAAGTGCATGAAAACAGGTGGATAAAACACACTTACAGTCACTTCCAGGCACATATTGACCCTGCCTGGATCACTTGGAGCCACATTTCAGTCTGAATTTTGACAAGAGAAATGGTGAGAGTCACTTAAGAGAGTGGGGGTGGCATCGGCCTGTTTTTTAAGAAATATGGTTTGTCTGTATCCAGCCTGCCTTTTGCTTAAGCACTCTGGAGGTAAAAACTGCATCATTACAAGCTGCTACCAGTGTTTTATTTACTTTTTGCCCTGGGTTTCGCCTCTCAGGAAGGCAATCTTAGCCATTTGATTGGTGGTGATTGGTGTTAGCCTGACAGGACTATCTGCACATACTACTCAGGGCTGAAAATATACTGTGACTTAAAGGTTGCTGGAATTGAACTAAAGATAGTAAGACATGACTGAAGTAACAATGCAATTACAACACATAATATGCAATAAATGCAATACTTTTTAACTCATACCACTATTTAAGTACTTGGACTCACACAGTTCTTCCAATAATTAACATTAAATATAGTGAAATGTACGATTAAAGCTGCAGTAGGTTTTTCGATCATATTTGTCAGGTTTTCTAAAACGTTCACTTTATCCTGACAGTAGTACATGAAACAGATAATCTGGGAAAAAATCTGGTTCTCATGGCTTGTTCTACCACTTCCAATCAACCAGACCTAGACAAAAACAACCAATCAGAGACGAGAAAGATATAAAGACGCTTTTTGGTTGGAGGTTTGAATATAGTTGATGAAACTGCTCCAGTGTGAGTTTTAAAAGTTCAACATGCGTAAAGACTGACTAATTATAAACAAAATAAACATTAACACCTCTACCCCCATCCTATCTCAGATCTCCAAGCTGTGTTTCTATGGCAACGCTGGCACAACTGTTGACTGCTTTCTCACCCACTGTTTATCAACTACAAAATACCATCATCATTGCTGGTACCATCATGCTCTTTCTCCTGCTTTCTCCTTTTCTTTTAGCTTTATGGGGAGTCACATGCTGGGACTATTTCTTGGCAAAAAACTGTGTGATTCTGTGCAGCTTCCAGGTGTCACAGTGTGGTTGCTATCATAGTTTGGTATCAATATGCCTGTACGTAGACCTATAGTAAGACCTGTGCTCACTGACTGTCTCTGAGAACCAGCATTGCAGTTTGTTGTTTGTTGAGAAAGAGTACTAGCACAGAACTCCCCCTAAAACCACAGACTGTTGCTCTTACATTACGGCTTCAGACCTGCTTCTAGTCTTTATGCTCAGCTAGACTAATCACTTCCCAGGTCAAGCTCCTTGGAGATACGCTTGCACAACCGTGCACAACTAGCAGTCCTAAACGACCCAATGTAGGATATGCAAGGCAGACATCATGTGCATGCAATATGGCCAAGTGCAATGTGCAAATGTCCGAAGCGATTTTTTTTAAAAGGTAAGATATATGACAAAACTAATGAAGTACCGTAGTTCTGATGAGGAGATGCCCCAGCCTACAAATGTTGTTTTTCTTTGGTACAGACCCCACCAAATGTTACATCATTATGACTTTAATCGTTTTTTTCTGTGAAAATTTAATCTGTGATGCAAAAATGTTAATTCCCACACTTATCGTGACTCACATCACAATCGCAATATCGGTCAAAATAATCGCAATATGATGTTTTTACTACATCATGCAACCCTGGAACGTGTAGTTAATAGCAGTATATCTCCAGCTTTAACCTTCTTTCCATGTCACTGGCGAAAAGAAAGCGAGTAAACACAATTCTAAAAATACTGAACTATTCCTTTAAAGTCATCACCAGTAGGCAGCCTGACTGAGAGCAAGTGACAATGGGACCAAGAATGTAGCAAACATGTTTCAGGTGAGGTAGGGTAGGGTTACTGACTCAGTAACGCCCGGTTCACAGAAGTGTCTAGTGTTTGAAAAGGGTCCTCCAGGTCGACACTTCTCTAATAATTCCAGTCTGGAGCCTCGATTGCAGTGTTTTTGAACCATTTTACCTCTGCTCACTGTCTTACCTTCATGTTCTATCTCGTAACTTTAGCCACCATAAGCTACTTGTCATACCAGACCAAGTACGACTGTACCAGCAGTACCCGTGCATTTTAATGCTTAGGAAGTCTTACTTTAATTTCTAAAAGGGAGGGGTTTGTTAGTTTGTCTTTCAAAAGTTACATAGACCAACTTCAGTTGTACCCAGATCACTCAGGTCTTATGACAGTTAAGGATAAGCCTAGATGTCTGTGTGGAATATGAGCTTTTAATAGATCTAAGCTACAGTCAAAAGTGTACAGCCAGCCTCTGATGATGCAAGCTCCGGTCAATCAGAGGCAAGAAAGACTAATTTTAGCTACAAGATGTGTAATCATTTTCTTTATGATACTTTCTTGCTGTGACATTTGACTTCATCATCAGGTGTAAGACTTTGGAGGGTGTACAGTTAGTGGTCACAATCATAAATATAAGTAATAATAAGTATTGTTTTAGGTGTACTGATAAATTCAACACTAATCAATCAATCAAATAACTCACTGGCTCCTCCGCTGTGTTAAGGGGTACTTACAGAACTAGGGCTGGAGTGCCGACGCAGTTTGGGCGACTCCTTGCCGGTGGACGAGCTCTTGGCGTTGATGCAGGCATTGTTCTCAGAGTGGACCCTCTTCACCTGGCTGGCGGGCTTCTCAAACGGGTCGAAGCCGCTCTGCGTGCGCTGCACTCTCACCTTCTTGTCTTCAGGGATGGTGTCCAGGGGCTTGATGACCGAGTCTGTTCCCTGGCAGCTGCGTGTGGACATCTTTGTGACACATATCTGTCAAAGAGCAGGGGAAGAAAGGAGCAAGATAAAAGTGAGCATTAAAGAAAAAAAAAAAATCCCATCTGCGATTACCAGCGTTCAGCCAAAACCTGACTGTACCCCCGCCTTCCAGATCCCGCCTGTTTTTCATCTCCCTGTCAGCCTGGGTCTCTTCCCTCCCCGTAGAGCCTTGCTGCTACCTCTCTGCTAGGATGAGAGCCTTTTTATCTCCATCTCTCTTTTCTCTGATCAAAACAGCTCCAGCCTCCGTCGGCTCTGCTGTGCGCACACACACACACACACACACACACACACACACACACACAGCCAGCTTCTGCCATCGCTGTTCGCATACTGCACATTCACACATTTTCACTTTATCTCTGACACACATCTACACATCCATACAATTGTGCAGACATGCTACAGATTGTCTCCTACAAGCCCATCGGGCAGACGCACAGCCCTCCACGCTCCCCATCCATTTTCCATCACAAAGCACCTTACCAGCTGCTCCTCCACCACGGACTGTGTACATCGGACACAAAAGACGCAGGCGGCATGACATGTTTTGCCACGGCTCCCTTCAGATTAAATATTTAGGCCTGGGCTCCCCTGCAGGAAGAACTTCTAATTACTCTAATACACAAGCAGGAGTCATCTTGCAGCTCCTTGGCTTGTTCTCTAACATGGGCCAGGCTTCATTAGATACACCAGAACATTTCCCACTACACACGCTCCCTTTCTCTGTAATGCTAATACAGAAACTTATTTATAGAACAGTTGATGGCAGTTGTAGTGATGATGATAACATTTTTCTTATTGTGTCATACATACAAACATACCTATCCCACAAATGACTACAAACCAGATCCAGAATGCAACACAGGTCCTAACAGTCTGAAGGTCCAGTGTGTAACATTGAGGAGGATCTATTGTCAGAAATGGAATATAACATTCATAGGTATGGTTTCATTAGTGGATGATCACCTGAATATAGGAAATGTTCTGTTTTATCTATAGACGTCATGTTGTACCGCCATGTTTCTACAGTAGCCAAAAAGGGACAAATCGAAAACACTGGCTGTAGATATGGCCTTTCACAGCCACCATAGTTTCTCCTACACACATCACAGTCCGTTCTCATTCCCAAGTTGTAAATTACAGACGCCAGTGTGGTTCAGTTAGTCGCAAATTTGCTGCTAGATGCCCCTAGTGATTCTATTCAACAAATTAAACTAGAGGCCTGTTTGTTTTCTACATACCATTAAATGTATGACGCATGTAGGGTTGCAGTGGGGTCCGTGTATGTTTTGGTCATTGGATTTTCCTTTCAGAAACGGGTATTAAAAAACAGAAAACAGTTATTTGATTTTCGTTTTAAAATACAAAAATTAAAATTGAAATACAAGGCGTTTTCTTTCATGGTCAGAAAGGGATGAGCGAAATTAAAAAATGATTCGATTTTCATTTTCTATTTCATATAACAAAAAATAAAATCACTAGAAAACAGAAACGGAAAAAGGCCTGTTTTCATATTCTGAGACCGGATGTTGTCATTTACAGGACGGTGCTGTGGAGAAGAAACAGTAGACTAGTAGACTGCGGTCAAGCCAGCCGTGAGTCCGATCTCCGTGGTCAAATCAGCCGCACTTAAATTTAGAGTGTACAAGTATTCTCAGCATTATGGTAAATGCGGAGAAACAGCGTATTTACTTCCGGTTTTCAAAATAAAGGTATTTAGAACAGTAAGCTATAATTAAAATATGTTACATTAAAGTGTTTCATGCGCCCCTGATGAATAAAAAAACACTTTATATCAAGTATCTTTACTGCACCAGTGTGGAGAAATACCAAAATAAAAGTCCATATTTGTATCTCCAAGTGGTATTTTCATATATTTGAGCTACTGTAAAAACACTGCTCAATAATTCCTGGCTATGGATGATATATTTGACTTCTACACATCTAAGACTACAAGTATACTTAATATCAAGCATTTTTACTGTACCAATGTGGAGAAATTGAAGAATAAAAGTCCCATATTTATATATTTCCAGATTCCATATTTTCTTATATTTGAGCTACTGTAAAAATTTAAACTGTATGTGGAACCACCTGCAACAGCTGTCACACTGAATAATATAAAAAAATAATATGTGAGGAAGAGACAGTAGGTACAATGGTGTTTTGAAGTTAAAACTAATTATTTTTCCCTTTTACCTACAAATGGACACAGCAGAGCTGCAAAATAAGAAGAATGTGGACTGGCATTGCATTTTGTGTGAAAAGTAAACAAATTAGAATTGTGTAGGATTTTGTGTTTAGTGTTTAGTGTTTATATTATCAAGATGTTATTTAACATTTGTGTGAAATTTTGTCACGATTACTGCATCATTATTGAAGTATAATGAAAATGCTTCACCCATAGCCTGGAAATATTGAGCAATATGTTTTACAGTAGCTCAAAATATAAAAAATATGGAATCTGGAAGTATAAATATGGGACTTTTATTCTTCAATTTCTCCACATTGGTACAGTAAAAATGCTTGATATTAAGTATACTTGTAGTCTTAGATGTGTAGAAGTCAAATATACCATCCATAGCCAGGAATTATTGAGCAAAGTGTTTTACAGTAGCTCAAATATAAGAAAATATGCCACATGGAGGTACAAATATGGACTTTTATTGTTGAATTTCCTCAAATTGGTACAGTAAAAATGCTTGATATTAAGTATGTTTGTAGTCTCATATGTGTAAAAGTCAAATATACCATCAGTAGCCAGGAAACACTGAGCAATATGTTTTTACAGTACCTCAAATATGGTCAAATATGCAATCTCTGGAGGCATAAATATGAGACTTTTATTTTGGCATTTCTCCACACTGGTGCAGTAAAGATACTTGATATAAAGTGTTTTTTATTCATCAGGGGCGCATGAAACACTTTAATGTAACATATTTTAATTATAGCTTACTGTTCTAAATACCTTTATTTTGAAAACCGGAAGTAAAACGCTGTTTCTCCGCATTTACCATAATGCTGAGAATACTGTACACTCTAAATTTAAGTGCGGCTGATTTGACCACGGAGATCGGACTCACGGCTGGATTGACCGCAGTCTACTAGTCTACTGTTTCTTCTACACAGCACCGTCCTGTAAATGACAACATCCGGTCTCAGAATATGAAAAAACAGGCCTTTTCGTTTCTGTTTCTAGTGATTTTATTTTTGTTATATGAAATAGAAAATGAAAATCGAATCATTTTTAAATTTCGCTCGTCCCTTTCTGACCATGAAAAAGAAAAACGCCTTGTATTTCAATTTTCATTTTTGTATTTTAAAACGAAAATCAAATAACCACTCGTTTTCTGTTTTTAATACCCGTTTCTGAAAGGAAAACCAATGACCAAAACATACACGGACCCAATGGTATGAGATTTGCATTTTACAATGAAGAAAACGGTTTCACGATATAACGATATTACACAATCAGTTACAATGACCCTTGGAATAAAAACTATTTTTTTAATTATAATATCATAAAATATAATATCCCATACATTACACCATACACTAAGATGGTAGCGGAGTTATTGTAGTTTAAGTATTTTTCATTAGTATTTATTTAGATTTTGTTTAATTTTTGTTTTCGGTTAAGCCTAGATTCAGTTAGTTTCCACAGTGGGTTAGCTAGTTTTAGTTTAGTTTTCATTGTTTAAGAATGTAATAATGTAAATGTAAAAATGTATTAAATACAAACACATCTCAAACATATGCACCAATGCCTACTCGTGCTGCTTGTTGACAAATTTGACCAAATTGACAAAAACTGACATTTCCTGTATTTCTTTTTATTTTAGTTAGTTTGTTAGTACACAATATGGTTTTAGTTTGTTTTTGTGTTTTTCTAAAGTCTAGTTTTAATTTTTTATTTCAGTTACCTATAATAACCTTGTACTGTATCATTCATTTATTTTATTTTAAAAAACACAAATACATTAGGATGTATTGTATTATATATACATATTCAGTAATCTATCTTTTTTTTGTTCAGTTAGCCAGAGTCTCTTTCCTAAACTTAGCAAGTAGCTACAGGAAAACTTTACCAATTCAGCTCACATTTGTTAAAATAGCTTGATAATATTCAAAAATACTCATTTAGTATTACATTTACTTACATTTAAAAGAAGTATGCCTACTAGCTGCCTACTTTAGTCAGTTCAGTTTAGCTGCTTAAGCTAACGTTAGCTTCACAGAATGAGTGGACGAACGTTTGAGTGAAGTGGATCAGTCAGATAAATTTGCCAGAATTCAGTAAAATCAGCAGTCACCACATTAAGGGTCCACTGTGTAGGATTTGGTGGCGTCTTGCGGTGTGGTTGCAGATCACAATTAATTCGCTTCACCCTCCCTTTCCAAGTGTGGGGGGGAAACTACAGTGCGTGTGAAATGCACAAAAAACGTAAATGCCCCTATCTGGAGCCAGCGTTTTGTTTGTCCGTTCTGGGCTACTATAGGAACATGGTGGTTCAACATGGCGGCCTACACAGAAGGTGACCCTCGGCGCCTGTAGATAAAAACGGCTCATTCTAAGGTAAAGAAAACATGATTGTCATTTTTAGGTGATTATACACGAACAAAAACATACCTAAGAATAATAAATTACATTTCTGACAATAGATTCCCCGAACTGTTACACAATGGACCTTTAAACTCTACCCACACTAAATGTGCTACAGCTCGGCTTGGCTTTTGAGAGTTAAGAATTGCTCTTTTTGTCACATGACTTAATGATCACATTTACAGACCATCATTTTTTACAGCAATTTTTAAGTGTCTAATGTGCAACCTATAAAATAACCTGATATAGAAACTAAAATGTCCATTTTGCCTTTTTTTCCAAGCTTTCAAGACAAGGTTTGTAAGGCTCTAAAGCCCAGCAATGTTTTATTTTGTATTCAACTGCACAAGTATTCCAACAGGAGGAGTAACTGAACAAGAAGCAAAAA